GTCTCACCTCTGTGCCCCTGTATGTCCCTCCTCTCTGCTAAGAACCACCTGGTCACCACCATGCTTTTCCCACTTGACTCTCATGTGTCCTTTAAGACTCCAAAGAAGCTTTCCTTATATTCTCCTTTCTTCTTATTGGTTAAAACAATAATATGTGAAAGAAATAGCAAAAGAGCTCAGAAGGTATTTGCTTGGACAGTGAGTTTGGAGAGTCACAGACAAACCGCCTAAAGAAGAGATTCTGACCTGAAAAGAAAAGTTCAGGCAAAGGAAGGTGATTCGGAAAGACAGTCTTAGAGGTTAGTGGTGGCTGAGTGTGTCAGAAAAATGAAAACAGCCTTCTCAAGGTCTTGAGAATGGCTCTTTCAATGTTAGCAAATGATGTACCAGACAGAAATGTGCATTTTCAATGTTTTTAGTTCATAAAGATGATGTTTTAGTTTTGAAACCAAGCTATATTTTCTGTGATAATGGCAAGTTCAGAAAATGGTTGCCCAAGAGATAGAAGGTAGAAAAGAAAACAAGGCAGATTTAATGGTAAGTACATAATCTTTGCCATCATTATCGACAAAACAATCTGAGAAGGTTGACAGTTGAGACCATTACCTTATTTTTCTCCTTCTCAAAGGAAGAGTCAACTACCTTGTGAGTGAAAAGAAACAAATCTTTTTGTGTGTGCATGTGTATGCAAAAAGGTGATTTTATTAAAGCACGGGGCACAGGGACAGGACCTGTGGGCAGAAAGAGCTGCTGAGAAAAAGATCTTAAAACAAATCTTAAGGAAGGATAAATCCTTTTCAGCTCACAGTTCCTTTTAATAGAGTGTCATTGTTCCTTGAACTAAAAACCACTAAGCAAATGGTCTCTAGGCTACAGGAATGCCTCTGCTTGTTTTAATTTATATTTAAATTTTAGGGGCACTTGGGTGGCTCAGTTGGTTGAGCGTTCAACTCTTGATTTTGGTATCGCTTCTCGGCCTTCTGGCTAAGATCAAGTGCAACTCTTGATTTTGGCTCACATCATGTTCCCAGGATCATGAGATCAAGTCCCACATCAGGCTCTGTGCTGAGAGTCGAGCCTGCTTGAGATTCTCTCTCTCTCTCTCTCTCTCCCTCTGCTCCTCTCCCCTACTTGTGCCTGCTTGCTCTCTCTCTCTCTCTTTAAAAAAAATAACAATAAAATAAAATAATTTTTAAACAGCTTTATTGAGGTATAATTGACACACAATAAGCAGCACATATTTGAAGTGTATAATATGTTAAGTTTTGACTACTATCACCATCAGGATAGTGAACATGTATATCATCCCACAATGTTTCCTTGTGCCCCTGTTTCCACAGTTTTAACATTATTATTATTATTATTATTATTATTATTTTAATGTTTATTTATTTTTGATAGACATAATGCAAACAGGGAAAGGACAGAGAGAGAGGGAGACACAGAATCTGAAGCAGGCACCAGACTCTGAGCTGTCAGCACAGAGCCTGATGCAGGGCTTGAACTCACAAACAGTGAGATCATGACCTGAGCCAAAGTCGGATGCTTAACCAACTGAGGCACCCAGGTGCCCCTCCACAGTTTTAAGTGAGTGGAATAATATGGTATGTACTCTTTTTGTTGTTGTTGTTGTCTAGCATTTTTCACTCAGCATAATTATTTTGAGACTAATCCATGGTGGTGTGTGTCTCAGTAATTCATTCCTTCTGAAGTGAATACGGTTACATTTAAAGTCCAGACTAATATGGGGTGCCTGGGTGGCTCAATTGGTTAAGCGTCTGACTTTGGCTCAGGTCATGATCTTGTGGTTGTGTGTTTGAGCCCTGCCTTAGGCTCTGTGCTGACAGCTCAGAGCCTGCAGCCTGCTTTGGATTCTGTGTCTTCCTCTGTCTCTCTGCTCCTCCCCTGCTCTCACTCTGTCTCTCTTTCTCTCTCTCTCTCTCTCTCTCTCTCTCTCTCTCTCTCAAAAATAAACATTAAAAAATGATAAAATTCAAGCTAATATGTATGGAAGTGGCCTTATGAATATTATCTGTGTACTTTATTTATAAAGACTGATTATGACTCCCTCAGTAAACTATTATGCTTTTGCATTAATATATTATACATTGCAATTAATAAAGTAATTTCAAAGTAAAAAAATAAAATTCAATAACATTGACTTCTTTTTAATGTTTTATTTATTTTTGAGAGAGAGAGAGAGAGCATGTGCAAGTGGGGTAGGGGCAGAGAGAGACCTGCAGACGATCTGAAGTGGGTTCTCCTCTGACAGCAGTGAGGCTTGAATTCACAAACTGTGAGATCATGACCTAAGCCGAAGTCATATATGCTCAATGTGCTGAGCCACCCAGGCACCCCTCAACTTTTTTGATCTTGTTGTTTATGTATTTATTTTTTAGAGAGAGAGAATTAGCAGGAGAGGGGCAAAGAGAGAGGGCAAGAAAGAGAGTCCTAACAGCATGGAGCCCGATGCGGGGCTCAAACCCAGAAACCGTGAGATCTTGACCTGAGCAGAAACCAAGAGTTGTATGCTTAACCCACTGAGCCACCCAGGTGCCCCAATAACATTGGGCTTTTCAAAAAATTCATAGTCTAAAGTTCAAGAAGAAAGAGTGTGCGTGGCTCTTCCTAAAGAATGTGGTGGTGGGGCAGTGTATCTTGATCACCTGCTTGTGTCTATTCAAACAATAAACTGCGGGGGTGCCTGGGTGGCTTGGTTAAGCCAGCAGGTCTTGATTTTGGCTCAGGTCATGATCTCGTGGTTGGTGGGTTCAAGCTCTGCATTGGGCTCTATGCTGACAGTGTGGAGCCTGCTTGGGATTCTCTCTCCTCCCTCTCTCTGCTCCTCCCACCTTGTTCTCTCTCTCTCTCACTCTCTCAAAATAAATAAATAAATAAACTTAAAAAAAAAATAAAGTGCCTAAGAGTGTTTCTCAGTAACAAATGCAGAAACATGCCTGATGTACAAAGTGAGTAAGTTCATAGGAGAGGCAAGGAATAAGAAACACTTTTCTGTTCATTCTAATTTTTTGTTGTTGTTTTGAGAGAGAGAGAGAGAGAGAGAGAGAGAGAGAGAGAGAGAGCACCCAAGCAGGGGAGGGGCAGAGGGAAAGAGAAACTTATTTTCAATATTTAATTATTTTTGAGAGAGAGAGAGAGAGAGAGAGAGAGAGAGAGAGAGAGAGAGAGAGAG